TATTATTACGTGGCGAGATTACGAGATAACGGAACCCCCTCTTTACTATAAAAAAATTACTGATGAAATTTTGAAAGATGTGGTCAAAAACGGGGCTCAGGATGTGTCAGATTATTGATTTTACATGTCACACTCAAGCCGTAGAGCGCTGTGTCAAGTTGGTGACAGAAGCATGTCACCAACTTGACACAGCGCTTTGTGGGGATAATAAAAAGAAACGGTTTTCATTAGAGCGAGACTGCTTTCGCCTAAACGAATGCCTAATTTTAATACGTGAAAAAAACAGTTTGATATTTAAGTTTGCTTTTTAATTTTTGCAGTAAATAAATAAAAAATATTGCAGTAAATAATCGGATTTTTTTTTTATTTCATCTCCTTTGGGGCACCACAAAATAATTGCGACTGATAAGTGATTTTTTTTTTACAGTTGTTTTAAATACCTATTATAAGACAACTTTTCATCCCTATTCCGTGAAGATAAAACGATTTTTTTTTTTGCTCCATACATTTTCGCTCCACCCTAATGTATAACAAGTTACATTTATAAAACGGATACAATATTGAATATAAAAAGGTTATTAGTCCTCAAATTTCTTGTGCGCAAATCATATTACTGTCAAGTGGAGTTCATCGTCCTCAGTTACACCGCTCACATATGGCAGAGATTACGAATATCACCGCAAGTGAACGTTAATCCGAACCTAGAAAGACTGTCTCCTTTTATTGAATTAGATAATAGTATGAATTGAATAAACATTATAATATCGAAGTGGTGGCCAAATTCAATTTCAGTCTGTAGAGTTTTGCTTTTATACTAAAAAGTAGGAAAACATTAATTTGTATTTTAGTAACAGAAACTTAATGAATGTTTGATTCATCTACTCAAGTCATGATGGTTTACCTGCTAAAGTAATTGAGACCCGATATTCCGGAGGTTGCAGATTTGATGCTGCTGAAATTTATATTGTTTGACCACTATTGACAAAATTAACAAAAATCATGGAAAAAGAGTTATTTTGTTATAAACATTTCCTCTTTGGAAGCGAAATTCACCCCACCGTTTCATATAGTTGTTTCAGGACATTGTTTGCTTATCTCGTTTAGCGCTGGAGCGGCTTGGCCTCACTTGTGGGCATTAAAAATATAATTTAGTATTATTTAGTCGGTAACAAAGTATCAAAATCTATCTCAGCCAATTCAATTATTTCAATAATGAATATATATTTCTAAATTTTAATCCTTTTCTAAATTCTTTCAAATCACTCACTCTGCGGCTGTTAGAAAAAGGTATTGAAGTAAAATTTATTTAAGATATACGTGAAAGGAATAATTTAATCATTAATTTTAGTTTGACTTCTCTACTTATTACTGAAGCAGCTTATCAATGTAGAACAAAATATTCATTGATTTAATAAAATTAACATTTCAATTAAGAGTTCCCAGACCTATGACTTCTTCTTAGAGCAATGAAATAATCAAATTTAAATTATTGTGTTATATAATTACCCTAAAGTAATTGATCTGTAAGTTTTTGTTAGCTCTTAATAATGATAGCCCTATATAAATCTTGACTTATTAATTAGTGGACATAGTAAATACCCCCAGAGATCGCCAAAGAGTATGGGCTATGTACGGTAACTATGACACGGCGGCCAAACTACTCTTCAGACCCATCTTCGGACGTATGTACTTTATGAAATCGGTTAGCGGATGACTTTTTTTGATGAGTAAAAATTGTACAAGCAACCTTTATACCTTTAAACCTTCTATAAAAAAATCCCTAAACTTTTGATTGTTTATATTTTTTTAAGATAATCTTTTGTAAAACGTTGGTATCATGATTTTGGTAAATAAGTAACATAATTATTCTAATTTGAAATATACTTGTTATACATTTCAAGATTTTGATAAAATAGGCATTCTATCACAAGATCTTCTATAGTTAGTTTAAAGTTAATAACTCTTTATGGCTAACGTGCAGCGCAACTGTTCTTCTCATTTGTTTTGTTTATTATTTAAATCAGGGGTGTCCAAACTAAATGGGACTGAGGCCCAATAAAATTTGATTAAATACCTACATTGGTGGGCCGCAAAATATTATAAAAATAAAATGCTCGTAATAATAATATCGTAATTTTATTAAACTACTACTACTACTACTACTACTATTGCAGATCACACAGTTCTAGTTTGATAATCAATCTTTATACTCTCAACTGCAATCGTTAATGGATTAGTGAAGAGTGCTATATCACTCTAAATTTTTTGAAAATCTGCAAAACGTCCGCTCGAATTCGACGATTATTTCGTCTATGTATTTGAGGTTGTCCAAAAAAATGATGTGTGCGACGTGATCGAACATACCCTTTAAAAAATTTGAATTTCATCGCGATAAAAATAATTTGCTCATTGATGTTTTAAAACAAAGAAATATATAAAAAAGATCCTACGGGCCGCATAATCCGAATCGCGGCCCGCGGGCCATGCCTTGGACAGCCCTGATGTAAATGATGCTGTTTACATAATACATGTAAAATTCAGAGAGCAGGATAGTTTTAAAACCACTAGGTTTTGGAGAAAGTTACTGTGAATAAAAGAAAGATTTCTTGCGGTTATGTCTGAACTTTCTTAGATTCTTTATGTAAAAAAAACTGTTATTATACTTGGATCCACTTTATCTAGTTTTTATTAAATTATTAGAAAAAAAAAGGGTAACAAATAATATGTATATTAATTTAAGTACAATATTTTTTTTCATATATGTAACTTTTAAATTTGATATGAATTTGATAACAGTTATGTCAGTTTTACCAAAAATGATTGTTCTACAAACTTTCGTTCAACATTAATCAAAATTATTTTCGCTTTTGGAACGTTTATATCAGAAATAAATTTGAAAGGGTTTAAATAACTTTTACACAAGTTAAACATACTTTCTTATAAATTCAAACAACTTATTAAAGAACTATTTTACTATGAATTACTAAATAGTTTAAGCTTTTGATCAATATTAAAGTTTATGTTACGATACTTATTATTCGAAATAACGAAATAAAAATATCAGAGTTTTTCAAAATAATCATGTATGTAATAAATAAAAAATACAAGTATTTTTTCTCAGCACATTTAGTAATTGATGGAGACAAAATATATAATTATTATATCGTGATTCTTATCAGATCCAAAAACATAAATTGGAGTACAAATAAAAAAACATTCTGATAAAATATTCAAGTGACATTTAATGAAAACATATTCATATTCCTTTACATTAAAACTTAAAAATTAATTCTTTAAAACCTATATTGTTCATTAACGAAAACTTTTACAAATTTCATATTATAGATTTGCATGTCTATCCCTACAAGTACAGGATTTAAACAAGTTTTAATATTTTTACAGTAATATACCAATCTTACCAAAATTATAACTTAATCACGTATATAAAAAAACAGACATTATATTGAATAAATGAAAACGTGTCCGGTATACATTTTACAACAACTTTATCTAAGCTTGGCCCAAAAAACAAAGGGTCGAAAGGAATTGTGATAAAGGTATTATAAGTAAGTTTATCAGGTCTAGACACTTACGCTTACTTAATAGATTAAAACAAACTTTTGAATAAGACAGATCTCTTTTGAAATTTGTATAGGTACTTTATTAGAAACAGAAACTTCGATTAAAAGGCAAATAGTTATAATAATATAGTTTATTGCATTATTGAAATAAACGTAAGACTGTCTTTTAAGACTCCACACTTTATACAATACAATCCTAAAAATATATTCTCATCTATATTATATTTTACTAACATTATATTTTTAGGGGCAGTCAAAGTTTAAAAAATTCTTTTGAATAGTTAAATTCAATAATAAAACCATGATAATTTTTAAGCTTATTTATGTGAATATATTATCTATAGTAATAAAGATTGCGGGTGATTTTTTTGGCTAATATTTAAATCACATATCCCCTATCGAATGATGTTTCTATTCTTGTAGCTGTTAATTTAATGGCACTTTTTAAAAGTCAAAATAGTTATATATGTTATTGAATTTAATTTCCAATTAATGTCCAGCTTAAGTCGTTTGTTATAAAGAAGACATAATACTAGTATCGGGTAATCTATGAATGAGCTGTTCGTTAGATTAATTATTTTCAAATAAGTCAAATTATATTTATAAATTCTTCACAAAAAAAAATCAAACAAAAATTTTATGGTGACTTTTAATAATACAAAGCATAGTTACGTCATTGTAATCCTCTTGTTTATAATGTAAGAATGTGTGTACTTGCTTGTGTGTACGTATGTCTTTGTATGTGTGCGTGTATGTAGGACTACGGTTGCCTACATTGTAGATGACTATGTAAAGCAAGCAAAAGACCTCCTTTATTTAATCTTAAGCTTATAAAACATCATTTGTTATAATAAATAAATGAAATATTTGTAAAAAGGGAAGGGAATGGTCTTTTATAACCACAAATTTAATTTCTACTACGATTTATTTGACAAAAGTGCTTTCTGAGAACAAAACTCATTAAGACGAAATGAACTCAACAAACTACATCAACGCCTTAAGACAAAACTCAAGTTTCATTAGCTGTAATTTACAAACTTGCTGTGATACATTTTTATTGTATGGTCTTATTATACACTATTATTATATTCTGCTTTATTTACATAGCTCTAAGTATTACTAAGGATTAAACTCGTAACTATATTTATAGTTTATAAGCAATAATATTTGTATTTATGTGTATTGTATTAATATTTGTATTTATGTGTATTGTAATATTTTATTAGTTACTATAGTCATTGGGTATTTTGTATATTTTATATTGATTTATATATGCTGCTGGTCTAACAGTTTACATAGTTAGTTATAAAATTTATAAAAAGAAATGAAAATATATTATATTGATTGAGATCCCTATCCAGTGTAAACTGACTTATGTCTGTAGAGTATTCGCAGACGCAGTATAGCGTGGGAGCGGGTCTAGGAGCGGCCTCCAGTGAAAGTGAGCCGGCGCAATATCCACTGTGTCTCAACATCGCTCGGTAACATGATGTAGCATATGGACACTTGCTGCGCGACGTGCGACCGCTGTATATTGAGAATATTAAAATTATACTTTAGTATGTATTAAACATTTGGTATATTATTTATCTAATCTTTCTTCATTAGAAAATATAGAAATATTAAAAAGATGATATCACAATATAATAAGGGCTACTAAAATAACATTTTTTTCTGTAAAAAGTTAATGAGTGTTTTCAACACGATAAAGGAAAACTACTTTACTGACATTCAATAAATCTGATTGTATTCAATGTTTGCAGCGTCGTTTTATCAAGTGGTTATACTAACAGGAAGTGTTTTGTCACTGTCAAGCGGCGTGTCACACTCGCGACACAGAAGAAAGACCTCTTGTATGACCAACGTGACACCTTCATACGTGTCGCTGATGGCGTGACACGCGGACGTCCTTGATGGGAGGGCGGGCTTTGTTCTGAAAATAATATATTATTATTATAATTGCAGTTTGTTAATTGTAGATAAATAAGTAGTAGTATATACAAGTAGCAGTAGAGTTATATGACGTACATACCTTGGGCAGCTCAATCAAGTGCTCAGTAGAACACAGAGGTAGAACCTCCTCGAACGGGTTGTGGTCTCGAATCTGATGCTCTTTCAGTTGACCTGAAAAATATTTATACGTATTAATGTGTGTATTGAACTCATTTTATTGTTAATGAAACTAATATTTTTCGCATAGACTACGCTACTTGATTTTTGATAAAAACTACATACTCCCGACGTTTCGGCTACTTTTCAGCAACCGTGATCACGAAAAACAGACGAGATGTCAGCGTTTATTTTTATTGTATAATAAGACTAGTAAACCCGGCGAACTCCGTTTCGCCACCAGGCTTTGTTTTATGTAACATTTCGTTTGGTGATTAAAAGATAAAGAATTTTTTTTGTTTTATATTTGAAAAGGAAAATTTTAATTTCTTTTCACAACAGTAATGAATTCATTTCGATTACAGAAATGTAGTGTTATTTAGTTGAACTTCTCTAAGTAATGAAAGTGAATCAAAGTAGATCAAAATAGATACTTATGAAAGTAAATCAAAGTAGATACCGAATCGAAGCGCCGTTTATAACGTATCCGCAAAATTATCCGTTTCATTGAAGTGCTCCTTTGTAAACCACATTTTGGTTTTTTTTGGTCTAACGTTAACACAAATAAAGCGGATGGGTTTCCGAACTCCTGAATACGCAAAGTATAACTGCCCATGTGAAAAACAATGATTTTCTAAATTTATCCCGCAAATACTTAATGGTTTTTAAGAGTTTAAACTACAAACACAATACCGGTTTGTCACATGAAATTACCTGAGCAGAGAACAATGAGTAGCCTTCAAAACAATGTATCATGCACCGGCACCATCTACTTAAAATATGCAAACGAATGCAAAACCGTGGAAATCGGTTCGTTCGTTCTGGAGTTATAGCGTCAGGAAGGAAAACCGGACTTATTTTTATATAGTAGATTTAAGACTTGCGAGTATTAATTTAAATGAAAGTAATATTTTCGGAATACTTTGCGTATTTTATTATTTTTAAAAACACCCACACTCAGGACAACTCGTCTGCCTTAATCATGGTTGCTGACAAGTAACCGAAACGTCGGGTGTATATATAATAGTTTTTTTTAAATAAATAAAATACGCGAAACAATCCGAAAATATTAGTTTCATCTGTTTATATAGTACTTACAGTTGTATTATTCACCGAGACGTACGAATCTCAGCACACATCTCGTACATTTAATCTCCAGCTCCTTGTCCTGGTGTTGTTTGAGATGGCCCATGTAGAGGAGCACGTTGGCCGTCAGCTCACAGCCTTCAGCGTACACTGGAATCATCTGAAGACAGATATAAGATGATTTTAATTTCTTCGACGTAGTATACTATACTATTTGATGTGACCTCTTAAAATTAATATTGAAACTGAAATAAATGAATTCCTCCTTACGAAACGCATGTTTATTTAAGCCGTTTTTAAAATTACTTTAAGAGTTTTGAATAAAGAGCAAATATGTTCTATAAAATTGTTATTAAGACATGAAAATTTTATTTTGATTTTATGTGACATGAAAATTTGGTTTATTCTGTTAAAACTAGGCACTATTTAAGCTTATTGAGCTATCGTGCCTCGCGCCTGAGCTGTAAATGTCATAATATATTATAATATAATCGCAAAACAGTATGACTAATCACTAGTAGATACTCACAGGTTCTACTTCATCAGCAGGTTTTGGTTCTTCCCTGACGGTGTTGGCTCGTGCTAGTTCCTCAGTTAAGTACGCGCTTGTGTGTTTGTGTCACGAGGAGATGAGATAGAATGTCCGTGCCTGAAGTAATATTATATTAGAACAACAAAGTTTTTCATACAGAATTGCAAATATTTACGAACTGTATACAATTTTTGCGTCGTAAAAATAAAATCTGTTAATACTACATACTTGTTTAATTTAACGATGCCGTCTGGGGATTAAAATATTAATATTTTATTAGTTACTATAGTCATTGGGTATTTGTATATTTTATATTGATTTATATATGCTGCTGGTCTAACAGTTACATAGTTAGTTATAAAATTTATAAAAGAAAATGAAAATATATTATATTGATTGACATCCTATAACCAGTGTAAACTGACTTATGTCTGTAGAGTATTCGCAGACGCAGTATAGCGTGGGAGCGGGTCTAGGAGCGGCCTCCAGTGAAAGTGAGCCGGCGCAATATCCACTGTGTCTCAACATCGCTCGGTAACATGATGTAGCATATGGACACTTGCTGCGCGACGTGCGACCGCTGTATATTGAGAATATTAAAATTATACTTTAGTATGTATTAAACATTTGGTATATTATTTATCTAATCTTTCTTCATTAGAAAATATAGAAATATTAAAAAGATGATATCACAATATAATAAGGGCTACTAAAATAACATTTTTTTTTTGTAAAAGTTAATGAGTGTTTTCAACACGATAAAGGAAGAACTACGTCTCTTTACTGACATTCAATACATCTGATTGTATTCAATGTTTTGCAGCGTCGTTTTATCAAGTGGTTATACTAACAGGAAGTGTTTGTCACTGTCAAGCGGCGTGTCACACTCGCGACACAGAAAGACCCTCTTGTATGACCAACGTGACACCTTCATACGTGTCGCTGATGGCGTGACACGCGACGTCCTTGATGGGGAGGGCGGGCTTTGTTCTGAAAATAATATATTATTATATAATTGCAGTTTTGTTAATTGTAGATAAATAAGTAGTAGTATATACAAGTAGCAGTAGAGTTATATGACGTACATACCTTGGGCAGGTTAATCAAGTGCTCAGTAGAACACAGAGGTAGAACCTCCTCGAACGGGTTGTGGTCTCGAATCTGATGCTCTTTCAGTTGACCTGAAAAATATTATACGTATTAATGTGTGTATTGAACTCATTTTATTGTAAATGAAACTAATATTTTTCGGATATACTACGCTACTTGATTTTTCATAAAAACTACATACTCCCGACGTTTCGGCTACTTTTCAGCAGCCGTGATCACGGACAGACGAGATGTGAGCGTTTATTTTTATTGTATAATGAGAATAGTAAACCCGGCGAACTCTGCGGCGAACGGCGAACATTTCGTTTGGTGATTAAAAGATGAAGAATTTTTTTATTGTTTTATATTTGAAAAGGAAAATTTTAATTTCGTTTCACAACAGTAATGAATTCATTTCGATTACAGAAATGAAGTGTTAATTAGTTGAACTTCTCTATGACTTTTAGTGAGACTAACAAACAGGAATTCATTTATATATATAGAAAGATATCAATATATAGATAGATATAGATTGAGTAAAATATGAATATATCATTTAATATTTAAAAGTAAAGAAAAAGTATTAAGAAAATTATTTTTAAAACGGACGTGGCAGTCAGATTCCAATTCCATAAATTGAAAGGGTTCAGTTAACGTGAACATCTAGAAGTAGTACCCTTCTTTATAGCCTTCAATATAGTGACTTTCCCGTATAAATGTCCCCTTTAACGTCGCCTAACTATTTATTAAACTTACTCACTTATTAAAAGATAACAGTTTCTTTTCTCGTCCCAAACCCATAGTTGTTAGCTATATTTGGGTGATCAGTGTATTATTATGTAATGTAAATTGAAACTCAGATTATTTAGGTTCTATCACATATAACCATAAGTTTGAATTTCAAATGATAAATTAAAATATTATGAAAAATAATCATGATTAATGTTAATGTTAGAAATAAAATACAATATTACATATCGCACCTCCGCTCAAATAGTGTCACAACTCAAAAAAAGTTGAATTCAATTTTATTGTACTATTGGAATCAGAAAACTTCGAAATCTTATCTCAAATAATGTCATGCCCATAGTTCAACTATTTATCCATAGATGTCAATATTTCGTAAAATTATTCGTTTTTTTCATCCGTTATTCGTTTATTTTTTTTAAATATATTCCAAAAGTCTATTACACCATTTTGTTGAGTGTTTTATGACACTATTTGAGCGGAGGTGCGATATGTTAAAGTAATAAAATCTAAATAATATTCCGAAAAAAATATATATTACTTGCTTACATTAAAAAAATGGTGGTTTCGAATATGGGTTTTTTTAAAAAGTAGGGGTAATTAATTTTGACCTGTTTTTTTATTAACTAGGGTAAGATTTTTCATTTTTATACAATAATGTAATAATTAAAATAGAAATTTTAAATAATTCATGTAAAAATTATTGGCCCAAGTCACATGTATGAAACTACGTAATATAGCTTTGGAATGATATTCAAAAATTGGAAATATCAGCGAATAATTGATTACAAACAAATGGAATTAAATGTAATGAAAAAGAAGAAATAAGCTTAATTGAATTAAAATCAAAAGTATGTTGTAGTTCTCCCTTCAAAAGTCAAGCAACTTGGTTATTAAATTTCATAAAAAAACAATTGGATGCAGAAATAAATATTATGTATAATTTGTTTCAATACTATAACAAATATTTTAAAGGTTGATTTATTATTGAGAAAGTATTTTAAAAATGAATTTCATCTCATCTTCCCGCTAACGAGTTTAATAAAAAATTATTTATTCTATAAAATCAGACTACATAAGAGAACGTGACTAAAGAGCATAAAACATAAAAGGTAATTCAGCGGATCCTTAAAAAACTATCTCATTAAAGTAGTATCTCAAACGTCATGGCATTTTTTGTAAAAAAAAAATTTAAAAAAAATCTTTCTAATGCTTTTTTTTGCCTATTTGTTTCTGTTTAAATAACAAAATATCAATTCAAATAAGTAAATAATAGATTTTTATAATACAACTAGCTTTCCGCCCGCAGCTTCGCCCGCTTGGAGTTCCCTTATATCGTGTTTTCAAGAGAACCTTTCAAAGTCTGGGATAAAAACTATCCCATGTTCATTCTCAAAGTCAACTCTATCTCAGTACCACATTTCATGAAAATCAGTTCAGTGGTTTAGGCGTGAAAGCGTAACAGAGAGACAGACAGACAGAG